TTCAAGTTAGATACAGAACCAATGGATAACGTTCCCGCCGGCGGGCAGGAGAAAACGGTTCCTTGCACAGATCTTGGGAACCAGGCAAATAGTAGACACAACACAGGTGCAGTTCTCAGGCTTGAGAAATAACAAGCTGGCAGCGAAGCATACTCTCCCCCTCACATCCTCCAGTTGTTTTACTTTGGCATTACAGCAGGCAAACACATAGGTCAGCTGGCAGGGACAGGGATCACATATGTACAACCAGAAGTCACACAGAACACCATGGCAGCTTGCTGACAGGGAGCCAGAATGACCTCTCGTGTTTGATGTCTGAGGGGCAACACCGCTCGGACATCACACGCGAGAAGTGGAATTTTTGCCCTACGAGTCCAAGGCCACCACCCCGTGGCTCAGGGAGGCAAGGGAACGTTTCGCCCCGCTCCTCCCCCCTCTGCTGGTATCGCAGCTGCCACCGAAAACAGCGACTGTGGCCATAACTTTTTAAAGAGCCCCTCCCAAGATTTGGGGGAGCCAGAATGACCTCTCGCGTGTGATGTCCGAGGGGCAACGCCACTTGGACATCACACGTGAGAGGTGGAATTTGCCCCTGCAAGTCCAAGGCCACCACCCCGGGGCTCAGGGAGGCAAGGGAATGTTTCTCCCCGGCCCTCCCCCCGCACGGGCATCGCAGCTGCCACGGAGAACAGCGACAGCAGCCATAACTTTTTAAAGAGCCCTTCCAGAGAGCTGGGGGAGCCAGAATGACCTCTTCCGTGTGATGTCCGAGTAGCACATGCAAGAGGTGGAATTTGCCCCTACGAGTCCAAGGCCACCACCCCGGGGCTCAGGGAGGCAAGGGAACATTTGCGTTGCAGCTGCCACCGAGAACAGCGAAGGCGGCCACAACGTTTTAAAGAGCCCCTCTTGAGAGCTGGGGGAGCCAGAATGGCCTCTCGTGTGTGATGTTCAGTGGAATTTGCCCCTACGAGTTCAAGGCCACCACCCCGTGGCTCAGGGAGGCAAGGGAACATTTTGCCCCTCCCCTCCCCCTGTGCTGGCGTCGCAGATACCACTGGAGTTGGGAGTAAGCAGTGAAGTGGCTAAATTTGCAGATGATATGAAGTTGTTCAGGATGGTGAAAACCAGTGAGGATTGTGAGGCACTCCAAAGGGATCTGTCAAGGATGGGCAAGTGGGCGTCAACATGGCAAATGGGGTTCAATGTGGCCAAGTGCAAAGTGCACATTGGAGCAAAAAATCCTAAATATAGATACACATTGATGGGGTCTGAACTGGCAGAGACTGATCAAGAGAGAGATCTTGGAGTCATAGTAGATAACTCACTGAAAATGTCGAGACAGTGTGTGACTGCAATAAAGAAGGCCAATGCTATGCTGGGGATTATTAGGAAGGGTACTGAAAACAGATCAGCCAATATCATAATGCCCCTATATAAATCAATGGTGAGACCTCATTTGGAATACTGTGTGCAGTTCAGGTCACCACACCTTAAAAAGGATATTATAGCTTTGGAAAAAGTGCAGAAAAGGGCAACTCGAATGATAAAAGGGTTGGAACACTTTCCCTATGAGGAAAGGTTAAGGCGCTTAGGGCTCTTTAGCTTGGAGAAACGACGACTGAGGGGTGACATGATTGAGGTTTATAAGATTATGCATAGGAAAGAGCAGGTAGAGAAAGAGGTACTTTTCTTCCTTTCTCACAATACAAGAACTTGTGGGCACTCCATGAAATTGCTGAGCGGTTGGGTTGGGTTGGGTTGGAACGGATAAAAGGAAGTACTTCTTCACCCAAAGAGTGATTAACACATGGAATTCACTGCCACAGGAAGTGGTGGGTGCTACAAGCATGGACGGCTTCAAAAGGGAATTAGATAAGCATATGGAGCAGAGGTCCATCAGTGGCTATTAGCCACAAGGTATAGCTAGGGGCTCTGGGGCAAGTGATGCTCTGTCTTCTTGGTCC